AAAAAAACGCTCAGTCTTACCGCACATCAGGAGCGAGGATGCTGTTTATTCCACCAAGCTTAGCGTTGATTTTGAGGCAGAGATTGGAAATGGTTTGTGGGTTTAATTTCATGACATTTTTCGACTGCACACACTGTGTAGCAATACCCAACATTGTATCCCCAACACGCTTGACTTCAGCTGCAGGATAAACGTGAAACACAACACTATGAGAGAACTCACTGAGACAAACAAACAACTCACACCCAACAGGTGCGTAGGCTGCGAGCAGTCTCTCTTTTGCTCGAAAATTCGTGGGAAGAACGCAACTCTAGTGAGCCGTATTGCTACTCGCGGCTCTGTCACTCGCCGCTCTTATGTCACGCTCGCAGTCACGCTCGCAGCCACACTGGCACGCTCATTTGTTTTGCGTTCTTTCGAGCAAAAGAGAGACTACTCGAAGTGTAACATGTGCGAACAAGGATGGGTTTCTCTCAAATGCTTTAAAACGCTTTTTTAAGCTATTATTCGGAGTGCTTTTAGTGCTCTGTAGGTTAATTTAGGCCGCACTATAAAAAAATGTCATCAGTTCGGTCATTCTGGGGGAACTTGAGTCTTAGGGAACTTTGAGTCAAATTTATTGGGGCTTTTTAGTCCATTTCCCGAAAACCTTTAGCTCTTATTAACCGAGCAGGAGGTCTGTATGCGAGAATCTTGAACTAGGTCGTGAGTACAGACCGAACGCAGTGAGGTCTGTACTCACGACCGAGGTCAAGAATCTCCCATACAGACCGACTTAGCTCAATTAATAAGATGTTTATTACATGGCAAAGAAGAAAAATTTAATTCGTTTAATGTAACTGGTTTGTACTAACTGACATTTTGCTTGCGAACTGAGATGAGCTGAACTTAAATCTGCCAAAATTTGCTCGTCCTCTTTACTTTTTTTTTTTTCTCATCAGACTTCTGCGAACTTCCATAAATGATTGACAAGAAAATAGAAGAAAAGGGTGAGCATTTTTTTATTTTAGTTCGCAACTTTTTCACCGCAAAATATAACCGGTCTAGATGCCGGTCTAGAAGGGAAAATCTAGGCCGCTTTCAATATCGATTTCAACCAATCAAATCGTGAATTCGGTAGTTCCCAGTCCTTGTGAGACACAGCCATGTAATAATAAGTCTTATTATATGGCTTGTGTTTGTAGGCGATATAACGCGCGCTCTGATTGGTTAATTGTCACTGAATTGTAGGGCATTATTCTCCCGTAATGCCCACGGGCCGATTACGGATTATGCTAATTAGGAAGAGCCCGGCTCGGAAAATTCAAGCGGATTGAAACGATGAAAGCCGATTAAAAACAGTAAGAGAGGTAAATTTAATTCCGATTAGCTAAAAGTTTAGGGATTTTTCCTTACTAAAATTTATATAGAAGTCGTTTTTGACTTACCGGTAACCTTGGCGAGC